GGCATCCATGCACACGGTCGGCTTACTCAGCGCGAGCGCATCTACCGGTAGGGACCCGGCTACCAGAGAACTGTTAGCGCACCCCTGCTGCGATGGCTACGATCTGCTAAAACGTGAAATAGCAGAAGCATACAATCCTTAAGGCCCGCATGGATGAGGCATAGTCCCACATGTAGCTTGGGCCATCACCCTCCAAGGCCGTTTAACCAGTCAGCCATCGACTGATAGGCACTACCCCTATACGCACTCACTCCTCACATGTGTGAGCGTGCCAGAGGGCACGCCAGGAAGAAGCCGTTACAGCCTGACTCAGTCCACATAATTGGGTAGACTGTGCGGACTGAACTAAAGCTTCCGTCGGCAACCCTCCCAGCCACAGCGCCTAACGCATCGTTATAGTTTCAGGCTCGAATCACACATGCAACCGAGAAGCACACTTCTTACTTAATTTAGAGGTGTCAATCTAGTGCATGCGTTGTGTGGTGGTGGGGTAATATTGATGTACGTTTCAGATGCTGGTGGGCAAAGGTACGATGGTGTGATATAGCCTGTGGTGGTCTGCCGCAGGTTTTCGTGAGTGCGTATGTGGTCTAGTAGGCCCGTGCGGCTGCCGAACGTGCGGATGCAATACGGGCAGCTGAGTCGAGTGCGTCTGGTGTATGTTGGCACTCCAGACACTGGTTCGCCAGTCTCCGCGCGAAGGATTCGCAAGTGACCGACCAGGCCGATGTTAAGTGAATGCGCGATCGAAATGAGGATAGGTTGGAACCGAGTCCATATCTCTGGACTTGGGAGTACGAGATGTCGTAGCGTTGGCGGAGCTGTGGTCGACGCAGGAGTTGGGACGGGACGGATGATGTTGGTGATTGATGACGGCGGAGCAGTGACAGTGTGCTCATCGGTGACGAAGCTGGTCGTCTTTGAGGGGTTTGCGGCAGGGGGCGGTGCTGAAGTGATCACAATGGCTAACGCCAGGCAGGCGCGGGAATTTCTCGAAGTTTGATACCCTAATACAACCAGCATCAGCCGCCACGTCGATCTAGATGCTCACTACGACGGTTTGCATGCACTTTCACCGACCTGGTACCACGCCCCAACAATCGCTGATCCCTACTCCGCCATGTAGAATTTCACTGTCTCACCACCCCTCCCCCTCGATGCAACACGACGAACTACAGCCAAAACTCCTAGCACCTACGCCGCGCACTGAACCCTGACTTCATCCCGCATCCAGCCGCCCGCATCCCCTCTGATCCACAATTTTCCCAATCATTCTCCCCCTCCGCCTCCCCTTCCTCCAGAACAGGGAGCCCTGTCGGTTCTCCCTTCCTCTCCTCCGCCCCGAATCTTACCATAACTCAGCGCCCACCCCTCTCAGGCACCAGGTGTCTGTCTGTCGCTGTTTGCCCTGTCGCGCCAACCGATCTGGTGTGCCGATCTCACTTTCTATGCTCATTTCGTCTGTCACCAAATTAAATATTCACGAGTACAACTCGATTTTTCGAAATGCCTTCTCTTTTTGATTATAGCATCTTGCAATACACATTACCTCAAAAGCTTCCAAGTCCAAACTAATGTTCTTTTCATACAGAATGTGCCAGTTATTGTTATGGATAGCAGTGTTAATAAATTGTTTTTGTCACTGCCCAATTTTGTAAGTTATTCTCACATTCCTGAGTCATTTAATTGCCATCTAAATGTAACCAATTGTGTTTATTCTTTTGAGAATTAGAATTCGCGCTGGAGTCCATCGTCAGGGGGAAAGTAGCAGCAAAACGAATGGCCGTTAAAGACATTAACAGCCAAGCAGCGACCAGTGCCGCAGGGTTGAAAGTGACTGCACAGTGCTCTAGGCCAGCTCTGGATCATTGCATCGATTGGATGGGTTCACATTCGAGGGCGTGGGGTTTTAAGCAAAATCTTCTGCCTTTAACTTTTAAAAAGTCAGTCCATCTACCACTGAGCCACGGACTGGTTGTCATATTGGCTGAGGTTTGAAATATTCAGCGGTGTAGTATGGGAGTTCACGAGCATGTCCCGTAACTAGATCGATGAACAACTTGTCGCTGTCACTTAAATTGATTAGCATCTCAAATCGACTGAAATGCATAATGTTTACAAGTAACCTTAAGCAACTGCGTTGCAAGGAATGCAGTATTTACATGGTGCAGATGCCGCATGCATAATGTAATTAGCAGCTACCGCGTTTATCGCAGGGGCTTCTGCGATGATTGCTTGTCGGTCCGCCTACGCTAACGGTCGTTTCTTCATTACCGTTGCTGATTCTTTGCGTGACAACTACTGGACACAAGACGGTTGCTTCTGTTTTTGTGCAATTCCAAATCCAACTGGTGTAAGGAGGTGGCTGACGGTTTCCAAGGCGCTCTTGATATACAGCGGTGTTAACCGAAATTCGGGACCGGTAAGGTTCGACGTCAACTTTTAGATAACTGCGTGTGTAAGGAGCTGAACAATACATCGTTAGACGCTAGTGAGGATAGTTAAGCCGTTGGAAAACGAAAGGCGCGTTTGGAGATGAGGACTACATGCAGACGAAACCTCAGCATTTTAAGCAGAAACGGCAAAGGATTCTGCCGTTTTCTGTTCTGTAAAAGTATACTGAGTTTCATTAATACTGCTTGATCACATGCTGAAACCGAAAACTACTGAGGATATTTAATGGATGCAAAGGCATTGGCTGATGCACAGACCGGAACGTACTGACTGAGTTGTCATCAGAACATATAACTTAATGGTCCACCACCTTGGATAAATACCGTTGTTGAGGAAGTCATTTCCTAGGTCGTTTAGATAAGTACTTGTTGGCCGGTCCGAGATGTTCATTTTAAACAAGTTTAGCGAACTTACTCTTTTAACAAGTACTGCCCACGTGGACTGACCACGAGTTACGAACGAGTCTAGCGAAACTGGATAATGGTTCTCGACCGAAAAATTATTTTCTTAACTCAGTTATTATCAACGTCTCTTATTACGGTGATCACCAACTTTTAGCGTATTTGGTCACTTTTATCCATTTTCTTCGAACTCAAGGACAAAGTCCCGGGAATTCAGGGTTTCTGCACGCGTGTACAGCAGATAGCGCAAAATAAACCTGCGTTTTTGCTGATCATAAGGAAATCTGCTTGATTTTCCCGGGCATAAATTTTTCCAGTCACTTGACGTTATGCGCCAAACAAGTGGTTCTATCAGTTAAATAGTGGGGATTCTGCAAAAGCCGTCGTGGTCTTGGTCACTTGGAAGTCGAAGTACAATGTCAATAAATACGAATAACATCTTCATCACGTAACGACATTTAAAAGCTTTAGGTGGGTTTAACCCGAAACGATTGTAAAGAAATTCGTCTGCTCCGCAATGTTAACTGTCATAAGCTAAGTCCAAAGTGTCATGCAAGGTTAACGCTACCTGCGATAACCAAGGACAGACAACTTATCTCACAAAATGTCCACAGAAATTCTTATATGCGTTCCCGATCATACAGAATTTTAGGTGGGGTTGCAGAGCTGATTATCATGCACCGTAATCCCAAAAAATTCCCGTACGCCCTGGATGTCAGCTTTTGAATGTGCTGTTTTCCGGTCTCCTGCAAGAATGGCACCCCTTAAAAATAAGGACGACTTAATGAGTGCGAAATTTTGGCGCAGACATCTAAACACATTTCACAGAAAGTATGCGTAAAAGTACTTTGTGTACTTATTCGGTAGTAAACTATGCCTTGTAAAATGCGTATAGTCGACAAATGGTAAGGTTTACTGCAAGTTTACTACTACAAGATTGTTTAAAACCAGGAAGGTCGGCCAAATAACATCATATAAGTCTGTTTATATGACAGTTCGATCATCGTTGCCGACGATGTCCACTGTGTGCTCTACTGAAGGGTGAAACGGACAGAGTGATTTGCGCGTGAATTAGTTTATGGTGACAGTAGACTTGCGCAGCATCTACCGCACATTCTCTTTCCCACTCCCCACCTGGACCCGATGTCAAGACAGAGTCAAGAAGACCGGGGGCGGGGGGGTGGGAGGCGCAGGTGACTGGCACGGCTGGACCCGCATTTATGCATGCCACTACATCCCTGGTCCACAACAGGACTTTAACCAGCAACAAAAGCGTGGCTGGAGCGGCCGGGACCGCACCTGAGCATGCCGTCACACCTGGCTCGGATTCCACAGAGTGGGAGTGCCATAAAGGCCACATTAAGAAAGAGCCATTGCAGCCCGACTCTCAGACCACCAGTCGACCATTCCACACAAACACACAACAATGGGCCGGCTGTGAGGTCCAATTTATCCCGTCAGTTGGCGACCTTCCAAGCCACGGCTTTTAGCGCACCGTGATAGCTTCATGCGCGTCAGGTTGTTTATAGTGAGGAAAACGCGCTGAGTCGTCGACTTCACTCTGCCTTCCCATTTCCTTGCCTCAGCTACTGTCCAAGCCGGTCAGTAGACCGGAGCGGACAATGCGCGCGATGGCTGACATGGTCTAGTGGCCTTATCTGCGCGCGCCACATGCACGGCCTGGGTCTTCAAACACAAGCACCAGAATTTCACACAACGGAGGTTGAGCGGCATACATCTAACATGCGTGAGAGTGCAGTAGGTCACATTTAGAAGGAGCTGTTTCAGCCTGGTTTTAGCCCACCAGTCCGCCACTCCACACACGCACACACAACAACTGGACGGACTGCGTGGACTGAGTTACGGCGTCAGTCAGCAGCCGTCCAAGCCACGGCGTTTGACGGGCCGTGATAGCCTCTGACATGCAGTTGGGGAGCCGCAAGGAGACGAAGTCAAGATGCAGGAGGTGGCATTTTCGTGCTTGTGGTGGGTGACGTTGATGTGCGATGAGATGATGGCGAGGGAGAATATGATGGTGCGGCGCAGCCGGCGGTTGTCTATCGCAGGTTTTCGTGGACGCGCATGTGGTCGAAGAGGACCATGCGCTGCATGAATGTGCGAGTACAATGCAGACAGTGAAGGCGCATGCGGCATTTGCGGGTTGGTGCTCCAGGCCTGGTTCGCCAGTCGCAGGCGGATGTTCACCAGACGATTGTTGGTGCCCTGCGGCAGACAGGGCAGTCGTCCCACGATGTCGTTCGGGATGTCAAAGGCGACGCCCGCGTCCCTCGCTCTGCCTTGGGGCGACCGCTCCAGAAGAAGACGCAGCCGGCACCCACCTTCTCCAGTCGGCCATCTCCGGAGCACCGGGTCTCACTGAGGGCAATGATGTCCACCTTGAAGCGCGCCACTAGCGCCGTCTTCCGTTCCGGTCGGTTTCTCATCGAACTGTCTAGAATGGGTCGAACATTCAAGGCTTCCAGAGTGAGCTGCTCATCCTACCAGTCTACTAAGTGGGGAGGAAGAGGAGGAAGAGAAAGAGTGTTGTTTCTCGTTTGATTGCTTCGACTGTGAGTTTATCGTCTGCGACCACGGTTAGCCTGCAGACGGAGGGATTCCCCAGCATTTGTCTACCGCACCTTTCCTAGCCCCTTCCCCCTCGCGGGATTGAGCAGCGCTGGCCCTATATAGGGCTGCTCAGTTGTGTCAGACGGCTGGCGCACTCCGCAAAGGGCCACGCCTTTTCTTAGTGGAAGAACGACCCGGGTTAGTCTGGGACAGCCTACGACATCGCTGTAAGCTTGTGGCCTCCTGCGATGTTCCAGACAGTGCCTCGTCTCGACGACGCCAATGCCAAGATCCACCGAAGTCAACCCTACCGTGCGCGGAGATGCATACACTAATACCCTCACCTGGTTTAGCTCACAGGTCGAGGTGATTACCGGGGTGTGGTCGTTAGGCAGAGCCTAGCTTCGGGGAGTCAAATGTGAGAGTTGGGTGCCAGCAAATGGACGCTAGGCGTAATCTACACCTACAAGCAAGTGGGTGACCTACTACGTCCGACACATGAACCCACCGCCGGACACCCCTCAACCCCAAGTCTGGCTATATAAGAAATGTGCAACATGACTCATATCCATTACAAAATTTTGTAAGCCCTTCATGGTGCCTTCTCAGTAGTGTGTAAGAGCTGATGATTCTCCTAAAATAAAAAGCAAGCAATCTGTAGTTTGATAGCCGAAAACGCGAGTTGAACATAGGTCAATTGAGAGGTATAAGTGAGTTACGTACCTACCGTTTCGTCGTTTACAAAATTTAAATGAGACCTAATGTGCCACAAAATGGGATACAAGGAAGTTCATTTGCGCATTTTATCAATAAGCTGTGTTCAAACACAAAACCAGTGGCAAAATGTACGCTATTAAGGTGATTATTTTTGTCAATCGTAGCTTTTGCAGGCGGCGGATGATATGCGTATTCAAAAGCCAGCATCTTGGCGGACATTGTGTATCTTTGGATTGCGCTTCACGCCTCTGTCTAAGTTATCGGAAACGGACAGCCGGAAAGATTTATCCTCCGAAATGTAGGGGAGCGCACTGCAAAGCCCACCATGGCAACAGCAGAAAAGGAAGACTTACTTACAAGACCACCTTTTCAAGGGAATGCAGCAGGTGACGTAGTAAGAAGACGCCTGAAGACAGCGATCACTAGGGCTTTCTCCGCGGCGAAATCACGTTTATGTTTCACGAACTCTCCCCTCCTACGTTTGGGAGGTAAAGACCGACTCCCGTTGCAGGCCACATCGATGTGTGTGTACTCATTCACTTGCTCCTGTGAAGAGGGATACATTGGCCGTACAACGAGGCGCCTGGAAAAGTGAGTACGTGAGCACGTACTGGTCTGGTTAGTTAGAGGTAAAAAGAAATCGATTTCGAGTTCTATTCTCGCACATCTGGTTGATACGAATCACCGAGTCGATGCCAAAGAAGCCCTTTAGGTTGTTTACCGAGGCCAGCAAGTTTCCACAGAGGTCTTTGCCAACGGGTGCTAGCTACAGCCGAGGCAGTGACTATACGGCTAACCAATCCAGTACTATGCTGGCAGAAGACGTTGATACAGGCACTCTGTCTTCCGTGGCCAACGCCGACCGCAGATGGTCATTACACGCTGCCCCAATCCCCTGATGGCAGTGATGTGGGCTCAACGTACCCGACTTACAATCTTCATTCACAGCCTATGTCACCCTCCCCCTCGCCCCCATGACCCAGTGACCATAACACGCCTCGTCATGCGGGTGGCGTGGGAACACTGCGTCCTAATAGCCCCTGAGTCACTTATAAACCCTGTGAAATTCGCATATGTTATACTTCTATGTAACTGTGTTGGCCTGATGACGAGTTATCGAAAACACGTGTTTGCCAAATTGGCTTTTCAATTGTAACGTAGGACTATTCGCAGAACTTGTTGTTTTTAATCTAAAACGCGTTTTAAAATTTCGTTAGCATTTCGGGAGTTAAGCCGCCTATTACAGATACAGAAGCCTTTGCTATACCAAACTGACCGAAGCAAGGTTGTGTGCGTCTTCAAAACTACTTCTGATTGATTCTCTTTGTAACATAAGTGGGAGGTTTTCTACGGAAATCCGATGATCTCGACAGTAGATTCGAAGACATCACGCCTCTAAGGAAGTCCCAAAAAATCATATAAAAAATCTGCATTTTACAGAGGGGCTGCAAAATAGACATTGAAATAAGAAGCGCAGAAGCGGAAGGCCCGGTGTCTTTCGTCAAGCTGTGTAAAAGCTTGATTATTGAGATGAGAAAAAGCAACTATTCGGGAGCAACTGGAGACACTTAGTGAATACAATGAGTCGACAGTCATCATCAGCGATCTTTTTCTCACTGCTGAAAACATGCTTGTTGATGTTGGAGGCCAAGCTACACGCAACCTCACAATCGTCTGGAAAATGTAATTGCAGGTGGCCAACATTATTCCTGTCATCGTAACTCTACAAAATTCGTGTAGAGACGCCAACCTACTTTCCACCAAGCTAACGGAGTAAAAAAACAGCTAAATTAATAAAGTTTCTTCCCGGCGTAGCATCGTGTACGCCTACGAAAACTTAGTGTGCGATGTTCAGCGAACTCACCTTTACATATCATTCGAGAATCCCCAGTACGAAGTGACAAGAACAATGCTGGGCGATTAGGTCTTAGGCCTTGATGGCATACTCAGCATCTTTCTAGTGTTGAATCAGATCCGATTCTGTCAGAGGGTCTACAGCGTGTACATGTCTGGCGAGCGCCTGTCACAAATCTTCGCAGTCAAGGACAACGGAAGCCGCCCTCTTGATTCCCCGTGAAGGTTTCCTTTAATTATTTGAGAACTCATCGGTCCATCTGTAAAACTCTAGCACGGGATTGCTGACATTTCGGGATGGGAAAAAATGGAGTCGCAACTTTAAAGCTGAAGAGGGGAAAAACCCAAGCTCAGATAGCATAACAGAATAAAGTGGAAACCGAAGAACACATTGTTACAGTTAAGAATCCTCTTTGGCGTGTCTTGATTACCAAAACGTATTGAACTTTTATACTGCCTTTGTGTTATGGAATACTCTCAGCGCTTGCCAAAACCCCCTATCTGCCGGCTTCAGATAGTCCAGACTGGAGGTTCCTGTCTTCGCCACGGTGCGACTAACATAAGCTTTCAGTCCAATGCCTTTGTCAGAGCCCAGAGGGCTTTAAAATGTTCCACTGTGCATTTTTTTTAGAATTGAAGCAAAACTCATCGAAAACCTCCGAGTAAACCGCAACGCAGATAACCTAAGCACACCACCTTTACGAGACTCACAGACCTGATCTCACAAGCCACTGCACATTAGGATTGGGGAATTATCTAGGCAAGTCGCAGGTCTGATGTATTATTTGGGATATGAATAAAAGAATTTCGAAAGAGGATGCATTGATTGATTCTCGGGCGAATCTAGGCCTGTGATTGGCTGCGGTCTGACGGCGTACAGGGCGCGTTTGAACGAAGTGGGATTTTGACAGATCGGCATGGGTGGTAGGCCAATAGGTTTGCCATGGCATGCAATGACTGCTTGTTAGATGCGAAGGGCCGAAAAACGGTCGGCGAGCCAATAAAATTAACCGACGTTGCTGCTGCGCCTTCTAGCTATGGGCATACGCCACACCACCGATACATCCTTAGGTCGTAACTATCTCTTTTCGCCTACGAGTGTGGAACTCTTATACTGTGTATAGCCAAGCATTTTAGGCCAACTTGTGGGCCCATTTTTAATTGTATTTAACCATGATCGAAAAAAGCTGACAACAGCATGTTAAGCTTTTTGTATCAGACTGAGTGATTCGAGTCTGCTAAACACAACGCCAGTCATTCACGTTACACACTGGCAGGGTAGCTGATCAAATGAGTCAGGAATCAGGAACTAACATCGAATAGGAAAAATTGCATTTCCTTCCTAGTTAATCATAATCGAATGACTATTATCGGAACCTGAATCATCTGTGACTGTATATCGAAAAAATCGCCCGGTTTCATCATCTGTTTTGATGCAAAAATCGTTACTTTATCCGAACACACCATCAATACCAGAATTTCCGTAGGAAATACAAAACACAGAGATAAACGTTTGAAATAATTACGACAAAAATCGACAAAAATATCTAGCGTAGACCAGGATTCAAAAAAGTAACGAAAAAATATATTGTTTTGGAGGGTTCATGCAACCATTCAGTAAATGATTAAAACGACAACAAGGTTTAGCAAACAGCAACCAAAACAAATATAAACATGTTTGGTTTATCTGATTTTCCCCAGAGCAAAAGCGCAAATTTAACTCATAAAGTATTTCAACTGTGCAATATTTGACAGCGACGTATATTCAAGAATTTCCGCTTAATGTAAAGGGAAAATGGATAAGATATTTGACTTTTGAGTAGATTTTGCAGATTCTGTAGTGGTCAGCAGTTGTAAGTTTTCAATATGCTTTTCTTTGACTGAGACGGAAAGTAAGCCTAAAAAGCGAAAATCGTAGTGATAACGCAGCAGCTTACTGTACAACCGCACAGGCAGATGTCTCAATACAATCCAATTAATTATTTCAATCGGGTCTGGTGCCATCGGATAGTCTTAAAAAACAATGCATCTCGCACTCAGAAATAACCAGATGCTTTATTTTTTTCAGTAGCCCAGCGGGAATTCTGTCCTCCCAACATCGCATAGTTTCATCTCAGGCACCAACGATTTTTTCCTCAAGAGAAAAGCGAGCGTGAATAACAAAAATCATGCGTACATGGTGAGCACTCAGTAAGACAACTTTGGTGACACTCTCCTATTCTGATCTATATTATGTACTAATGTTCTCGCAAGGGGGCCGGAAGATGAATAGAACTTATGTTTGTATAAGTTCATCGATAATAGTCCACACTTCCATCGTCTCCCTTCCTCTTCAACAGAATTTACCCACGGAGAATTAGAATGTTATGACTTATTTTAGAAGTGATGAGATGCAATTAGTAACTGTTGTGTGTTACTTGGTGGAGAAACTAGCCTAATCACTGCCGCATGTCTGTATTCGTTAACTGACTTCAGAAAATATCAAGTCTTCTCTACTTTTAAAATATCCATTTTCTTAGAAATCAAGATACTAACACCCAACCCCAACGTCTAAGGAAGCAACAAAAATACTTACCTTGACATTCAGGTCCGAGATGGAAGATGTTGTGCTTAAGCGGTTTTCCATTTTGCCCATACTGCGTGAGAATAAAGCACATAATTTGTTCCTGAATTATAAGAAAGTGTGCCACCAACCAGCACATATTCACTTGGCAATAAATACTATGATTTATTATATAACTTTCAATGAGTCCATTTCATTTTCGATGAGAATCATTCGTTCGTTACAATTTGTACATCGCCTTTTAGTCCGGCATTGCCGCTAGAATAGTAATAACTGGTGGATTTTAATTGCAGCAGGCTGAAGGGCACCTTTCTTATCCGAGCGGATGGTAACTGAATAGGAAAGCCTTGCAGATACAAATTTTCTTTTGTCAGTGGAATTTTTTAATATAACCGCAAACAACGTAGCCCATCATGCGCCAGATCCAGATTCTGCCCACGTCCCCAGTCTGAGACGACAGTGTTAGGACTCGTAAAGTAGAACTTACCACACCAAAGTAGCAGTCCTTAGTGAGAATCATAAAAAAGGTCAGCTGCTGAGTTGTAGACGTCAGCCAGTCTGGCTTTGGTATGCAAAAGAGAGATCTGGAGGTAAGGTTAAAGAACGAAAAATCCCTAGACGGCCAGTTGTCATGGCAGAGTTTGCAAGCCCGTTCACCAACTGGAGCGCAGATTATCGGGACGACAGACACAATTTCACAAAATTGCACATTTGCCGATAGTTTCATTAGGAAAATGTTCACAATGGTGGCTTTAGTAGTTGTTTTAGTTCACCGTTTTTAGGTTTATCCTAGCTGCGGAATTAAAATGGCCTTTCGAAATATGACCTAATAATGTGTTTAAGTGCAGTTTAAGCCTAACAACAAACAGATTCTACGATATTTTTGAAGATTGGTTGGTATCTCCTCTAACGCTACTATTTTTCTATGCGAATATGTGTACATAGTTTATTTACAGCGTTTTCACTGCCTATACATGCATTTGCTCCCCATACACTAAAAAAGTACGACACGGTTGATATCCATTGCATAATTATGTGAGCCTTTTTATATTGATATCTTAATAGCGTTGAGAAGTGCATACTTTTCCTTACACAGAAGCTATAGAGCATGTAGTTTGGAAAACAGGAGCGCAGGTGCAGCCGTTCGGTAGGGTTGCAAATTATTCAAGAATTAAAATGATTTTTAAAGCCCAGTTTTCACTTCGTTAAAGTATAAAATTTGAGGACAACTGAACATGCTACCAAATGTCGCGGTGTCTACACTCTTCTATGCGCCGCAATTCCAAATATGATTGAAAAAGTCTCAGAATGCTCGAATACCTCTGGAGGACTTTTATTTGAAACGGTGGACGGGGGAAAATTAGCGAACAACAGTAACCGTCATCTTAAGTTTTTAATAAATACTATAAGCATATATCTCCGAAAGAATTCATGCGAAACCGGATGAGTCGAGCTAGGTTACCATGACTATTTGTGGTAGCGTTATCAGGCCTGTACAGTAATAAATGACGGGATAGCATATTAGATTCGTCTACCAGAGTTAATAAATCAGTATCGATGAAAGGGTAGGGGATTTTTACGCAGGTGACATAACTCTATGTGTGGAAGTAATACTGACGGTGGCGGTATCATCGCGAGGCAGTAGCTCAGTACGGTGGAAACGCTGGAACTTCGACAGGGGCCTTATTGCAATTATAATTTCACAAAATACTTTCTTAGTTGACGATGTACTCCAAGGAACATTTGGCTACACCAGTCGCAGAGTTGAAAAAGACCTTTTTGATGCACTGGAACTGTTTTCACTTTTGAGGGCATGGGCTTTTGAAAGAGCTTCTACGCGCTTGTCAGAACCCTGCATCAAAATCTGAAAGTTATTCTTATGTCTCCTATGTGCGTTAGGATAGAACATGAAAATGACCTCGTGTTCTGGCTAAGCCAATTATAGCGCTGTCGAACGTATCAGTTAGGAAATACGCCTCATCGTCCAGCATGTATGAGCTACGCCATTGGAAAATAAATAACGAGAGTTATGTAGCTGAGGTCTTAGATGCGGCCTAATCTAGTCTCCGATTTTTTAAAAATCACCTCAAATTTTACTTCAAGGCATTAACAGATTTCAAACATCGATAATTATTTTGTCTTTTGCGTTTCAGTTGGTATGGAAGCTTAGAAAAGAATGTACCATAATTGATTTTTCGCATTACTGCTCTGGATGTTTGGTTTTTACGCGCCTCTGAATGGGTACGGCATGACAAGCATTCCTTCTTTATAAATGATTTATGGATCGAATCTTTCCCAATATTACTGTTGGGCATATTCATGGGATGTACGGATGAGCTAAACATTATACCTTTTTGCCCGACCCAAACAAACAAAACTACTAAAGTTGCTATTGATGATTCCACTGATCATTCCACCTGGTCCTCTGTTTGGCAATACGCCGAGTGATTAAGTTGATTTTTTTGTTTCTAGGTATTGGATAAAACAGACTGCAGGCTGAGAGCTTTTTATTGCTGAAATGAGCTATTTAGAATCACGTTGGCAATTTCAAAGACCTAATCCATATGTCGCTCAAAATTCAGTTTTTGCATTACTGGCCAGTGTTTTATTGTGATTAGCTTTCCTCACACATACTTCTCTAAACAGAGTTTCCTGAGGTAATGCCTTGACCAGGCAGGAGTTCCAGCAATATAATTAGTGTCCTATTGTGAATTTGCCTTGCACACACTAAGGAGGCAGCTCTTTCAGTCCCCCGGGTAAAATCCTCTGTATAGTAATCCCTCGCTATTTCGCGTTTTAGCCTTCGCGGCTGAACTCTATCGCGGATTTTATATGCAAATATACCCAAATATTTATCGCAGATTTTTCGCTGGTTTACGGATTTCTGTGGGTAATGGACCTTTTATTTCTGGCATATGCTTCCTCATTTGGTTTGGCCGGGACGCCACTGCCAGATGACTAAGAAGCTACTCAGTCAGAACACGCGATTAAGTATCCTAAATTCAACGAATTTAACTTAATAGTTAGGAGAATATAAGGGATGTGTGCTGCATAATTTTGTAGGATATGCATGTAAGGATATGAGAAGGCTTATAAGAGTTTACAATATATAAAACCAACCACAAAACAGATGGCTTTCAGTTCGCGAATCGTCACTTTCAGGAGGATACTGGAACGCAATCCCTGAGATCGACGAAGCCTTACTGAATGCATAGATTATCTGATTTTTTGCCCGCTAGTAGATTTTTGTCTCAGGTATGAAGATACCTATAAAGAGAGACGTCCCATTAAGTGATCCCATGTTCCTATTGTTTTGACTGTAATCTCATGCATTTCCTGATAAATTATACGAATCATGAAAAAAATAAGGTAGCAGGGGATCCATAAGACGTTAACGACATTTGGTGAGTCTCGATTCAGTACTTTGTTAACTTTCTTCTCTCCCTTTTTATTCAGACACATTCAGACCTCTTAGATCATGTTAATTAATAGCTTTTCTTTTGCTGTTCTGCTTAAGTTCAAACTGCGCTGAAGAAGTCATTGTGCATGTACATAACCACTCACTTTCGTCCGAAACTGTGATCCTCGATGCTTCACAGCTGCGCGACAAATATTGTTATTTGTTTAATTAGGAACATCCATTTGCAGACCAATTTTATTGATGGTAGCTGCTTAGCAAGCGACGAATGATATTGGACATTCAATAAAAAGCAGACTTTTCGCGCTTCCCAAACGCCAAGTGTCTGAACAATGATTTTTCTGCAGATCACATAGAATACGTATCCGACGATTTTCGATTTCTAAGGCAGTCCTGTCTTGCCGAGTATATTAATTTGAAAGTTATACGAGGCGTCAGTATTTCAAAAAGATCTGGTTCTAACGGATGGAGGCAAGTGTGCGCGTCCCAGGTTCTTGTTGAAAACAAGACGAAGACGCGATCACTGGAGCGATAGGTTTATTAGCCTGCAATTTCGGAGTCGTACAGGTGCCCAGTATCAGAGTCCGCGTGAATGCAACAACTAGTGAGCATTTTGTAGTCGAACACCGGGAAGGGGGGGACAGGGAGATGGGAGGGGGGGAATAGTGTCCGTAATCGTATCGGGTTTGCCCCACCCGGCTCACAGTATCCTCACGGCGTGCGTCTTTGGTGAGGAAGTGGGCTGCGCTACCTGGCTGGGTGGGCGTAGGCGTGATAACACGAGGGTAGTTCAATGTGTCTGTTGATTGGATTGGTGTCCGACACCAACGCCTCTAACGGTTCTCGCCCCGTCTTGTTGCCGGCTGGCGCCAGCATCTGCGTTCTCTCAAAGTCGAACTCATGGCCTTCCTCCAGCGTGTGAATAGCCACTCGAGTATTCACGAGCCAAGACATCGCACTGTCTGACCTGTCCTGACACGGAATTTGGCAAACTACGTCTGATCGCTTTTCTTACGACGAGCAGCTCCCTGATCTCCATGAGCCTGATGCGCATGGCAGCTGCCGAACGATGGACGATACCCATGCCTAACTCTGCCACAAATAGTTCTGTTGCCTCGGACACAGTCTGTATACTGTAGTGGGTGTCAAATTAGTGGTTTCCCTCTTCTGTTTGTTCGCCGTGGGCGCATGCGCATGCAGCGGCTTATGAAGTTCATTCATTGCCAACTGGTTCTTTTCATCTTCAATGGAAGAAAATACGAACAAATCAAAGGAACACCGGGAAGTTCTCCAATATCCAGCCTAATTGCGGAACTGATCATACAAGATTTGGAAAAAGTGGCTATCAACCACAAGACGGGGTGAGAACTGTTGGAGGAGAGGGTGTCAGACACCAACCCAATCAACAGACACATGGAACTACTCTTGTGTTATCACGCCTACGCCCACCCAGCCAGGTAGCGCAGTCCACTTTCTCACCAAATACGCACACCGTGAGGGTACTGTGAGTCGGGTGGAACAAACCCGACACGATTACGGACAATAATCCTCCCCAATATCCTTGTCACCTCTTCGTGGTGTTCGACCACAAAATGTTCACTCGTTGTTCTACTCACACGGTCTCTGATGCTGGGCGCCTGTACGACTCCGGAAGTGCAGACTAATAAACCTATTGCTCCAGTGATCTCGTCTTCGTCTTGCTTAAGACTTCGTTCTCTTCAAACATAACTTTGTTTTAGCTGAATTAGAACTAAAGAGTACAACCATACTGCTATTTAATAAGCTTTATGAGCTTGGATTTTGGGGAAAGGGTTATTGGTATGTTTGGCTCTCAGTCAACAGATTTGTTTACAGTGCAACCTATTTTCCTACCGCATTCACACCTTTAGTAAATACTTGCATGGCTAAATGGTCTCACTGGTTTAAATGAGTGAGGTGGGATTTTCCCCACTGATCTATCATCGTGAAATGTGCTTTCACTTATTCTCGTCGGTTGTGTACGCTCTTTTGCTATTATCTTGAAAAATGTTATTTTGGGAAGTGACATATAAGAGCACGATTACGCATTCGTGTCAGCGTTAACTGAGAATTCCTGACCAGAAAAGTGGTCAAATCATTTTAACTGCTATCTAAATGTGTCCTACTCCATTTTTGGTTCCCTGAAAAAACATTTCGGCACTTTTAAATAACTTTTATATCCAAAACATGTGCCTAGTTTGTCTATGTTAGTAAGATGCGACTAGTTTATGGTTTCATTTAACATCTTTATTTCAAAGGTCACTGCTTTTTACACACGTTTGAGTTTTAGTTTATCTATATGCTGGCGACCATTTTATCTAGTTTCTTACTAGAAAGAGGTATATTTTTAATGAGAACAGTGTGCGTGCGACGACTTTTAAAAACAGTTTATGCATTAATCACATTTGATCCGATATGACTTATTCAAAATTTGCACAACTATATGTGAATTACATGAGCTTGGTAGTCATCTGGTGGATTTCAGATGAATTACTTAGGAAATCGTGCTTGGGCAGTCAACTTACTGTATCAGATTTGGTGGATTCGAGACGTTGCAGTAAGTTGGGCGGGTAACTTGGCCCAAATGTGATTAAACTAGCGTCGTACGACGGGGCCTCGTAGCTCAAGTGGTTAGAGCGTTAGCTGTACTAAAGCCTTCCCCTTTCTGCGTGGGTTCGAAATCCACCGAGGCGCCGAGCTTTTCACAGTTGGCTCAAATATAAATTATTCAAAAAGTGCTAAAACATCTGTGATGTTAGGCTGGGCGTGGAAGTTAAGAGAGGTATTTTCAAGGCTAAGAATATGAGGCTAGGGTAAAAGTTGGAGTAAAACAATATGTACGTCCTCTGTGATTTAGCGCGCGTCCTCCCTCTATACTAGGGATGAAAATCTTCATGTCAGCCAGAAAGAGTTCAGGCAATTTCCCTTGTGAAAACGCACTGCACAACATCGGAACGATGCGGTAAGAGGTATAAAAAGAAGAGCTCTCTCTGACACTCAGTAAGTGGAAGTTCATTACTTAACTTTCAAGTACAAATGCAGATGAGTAGTCTCTTATACCGCTTTTCGACTGTCGGACCTTGATTGATTGGTTTTCATAATCTATCTGTCTCCTTCCTTTTGATCATTTGTCGTGTTCTTGACAATTTTGAATATTTAAATCTGCTGTCGATGGAAGACGACTAAGGCTGCGGTTAAGGCAGTGATCTGTCGGACTGATGGCTTTGTTGACTACGCGTAGTTCCAGATAGCTTTCAGGCTGACTCCCGTTACTTTGCCTAAGCCCATCGCAGACGCCTTATCTTTTTCTCGCAACAAAAGGTGTCATAAGGCCTGGGAAGTCCAAACGTAACAACGTAACGGTTGATTTCATTGCCATCGAAAAGCTATGCACGCATTGTCTGTCTTTAGAGCCCGTAGCCTATAATGGTCTGTCGCCGGTGTATGGATCCTCCATCTTACGCTGTGAGTTTTGAATCCGTCTTTGGTCTCTGTGTGGCCAATAAACGCTTGTGAAGGCGCATATGTCGCTTTCGTCAGCTTCCGGCTCCGTCGTTGAAATGAAGAGCATTTCAGAAGAATTTGCAGAAACTTGTTAAGCTTTTGGTAGTCAGTAGTAGCTTTTTAGTTGTATTAAGTGGCAGCGATGAGAAGCTTAGTGTTTACATTTCGTGTCTGCCCATCGGAACTGAAAAAGACCACTCGTGAGACGACTTAAAGTTTCGTCCTGAGCCTTGAGACTTCCGATTGCTGATCTTGTGCTCATCGCCCATTCTTAAATGCATAACAATCAAAAAGGCACCGCGTTGTTGGTTTTCCATAATAATAAATGGTTTTACTGATTATTTCTAAAGCCAAAAATAAGCGAGGCTGTTCCTTTTACAATCCCTCAAAATTTCCTATATTATTTCTTAAAAGGTATTTCAGAACAGCCTAGAGTATTCGCCAGCGTAGACGTAACCTACATTCTGGAAAAAGCATCATTTTCTATCAAAAATCCTCTACTGCAAAACTTAGATTTGCTCCTTGCATTCGAGTTAATATTTTTTGTCTTCGCATTACTGTAGAGACGTCAGGGAGGTTCAGCATGTGTTCTTTATATAAAGCGATAATTTGGCATATCATAGTCAACTCTGCTTCGTATTGTCGTACATGCCGCATCTGTATACCATGTCGTTTAAAAATTAATTTTTCAAAGAATAGAATTTGGCATATATTATAAATTTGGAAAGACTTTTTCTTTCGTATGTAAAATAACTTAACTTACGTTTTTGGCGCAACATTATGACTTTAGCTGAACAAAATAAGTATATGCTGTTTCTGATTGGAAATAAGGGATATAATGTTTTATGTTGTTGTGAGCTTCTAAAATTGAATATTTATGTGGTCATCAGACATTTAGTTCATGAAACCTCTAGTACTGCTTATAATAGGTAGTGAATATAATGTTGCTCAAAAAACCTCTATTGGCGATGTCGACTTTGGTAAATCTGAGTTAGATGGAGTTTAAGACACTTTCCAGCCTGCCAAATAATTTGTTTAGTTCATGTGATAGAAGACTGTTGGCATATCTTTATTACTTTTTAAATAATTGCCGGATATTGAAGCATGCTACCACGCGTGAGCTTTACTCTGGAAGCTAAACGTTCCCACTAGCGCTTGCGCTTTAAAATGAGATCCCATAAAACCTAGGTTTCTTTTTTCCAGCGGTTTGCTGCGCAAAAGGCCGCGGACAGTTCTCGACATGACGCTTATATCTGTAGCTGTTGAACGAACTTCAAGATCATTTTCACAAAGGGCGGCAGCGCCAGCCAATCTTGTAGCACGGAAAACCTCTCCCTATTGCCTTTCTGCCATTGGTGAAAACGCCTTTGATCACCACCTGAGCGGTAGTTAGTCGCCAAGTGCCAGTGTTGCCCACGGTGTGCGCTTAACTACATGCACATGCAACTCAAGTTTTTGATCCTGATCGCTGTCTCAGTTTCGAAATGTGCGCCAGTTTGTTTAATATTCTCGATTATATACCCTAGACTGTTCATAAACCAGTCCGTATTTTTTCTTCGCAGGCTCGGCCCTCGAGTGTTACAAATGTACAAATTGTCGAGACAACTTTATGCAAAAGCCGCCCGAAACGGGATGTCTATTTTGTCAGGTAATTACCTGAAACATATCATTCGTCCAAATATAGTTATTTATATAAAGCTGTCGTCTTAATTGCACTCTTTAATGCTAACCACTTACGAAAATATAAACAAAAGTGATCATCGCAACCGCCCTACCCTCTGTTGTGAACTTAAAAAATATTTCATCTGCAGGACATATACCCAAAATGTCAGCGAATTCATTTAATTTTTGTTAATGTCCCCTAGTACTGCAATCACTGCTTTTTCTTTAAATTCCTAAATGCGTTTCAGCTGTTTTATTTAAGTTGCATTGATGGATTTTGTCCTGATTTCCCCGTGCTCTTTGTCATATGCTTTCCTATTCTTTATGCTTGGGCCAAAGGAGACATATATCCTTCATATGTTTTACTTTGACAGACGAAAAAATCATTCGAGGATAATGAGCTCAAGGCCGTTTCAAGGGACTGCGTACAGAAGTGCACTCCGTCAAATACCATAATTAAAGGGGAAGGAGATCGAGTTGAATGCTGCGCAACCAATCTTTGCAACAGAGCCCACGTCAAAGTGGGAAATTCCATTTTCATATTTCTTCTATTTTTAACTTCCCTTATTCTTCTCTGAAGAAACTATTGCGTGTTGATGACAACTTGTTGACGACTGGGTTGTTAATTCATCTTAATTGATCATCTATAAAATGATCACTTTACCTCTCACGCTGTATGTTTCTCTGTTAAACATTCATTTCTTTTATGCCACCAGTTATTTTTGTTTCTATCAATTTTAATCTTAAAAAACATAAATACTTACCTGTTGATTTTGGAAAAATTTTAATTCTTAAAAATCACATTTTTCAGTCTGCGGGGACGTCATTTTTACAAATGTTATTTACGCTGGTGAAATTTGCACTGTTCAAAAACTTTGGTTGGTCAGTTAAATTTAACTGAGCTTCCTGAGTTCTGCGTACTTCGTGAGAACACGCAAGCAAAGGAAGGACCAGTATCACATGCGGCGACCACAACTGTTGAATCAGTGTGTACACTAGGGAATCGCAAGTTTAATTATCAAGCTCGTAATTCGAAACAGTCAGTCTGACTTTATAAGAATTAACAACGATCTTCTTTTAAGGTTATATATAATGGTATTTTGCTGCTGATATTAAATACCGACTTCCGTATTTCTAAACAGCCCTGTAATGAATAATTCCGAAATAGATGTTTGTATAGTCTTATAGCTAAACGTGCAAAATTTCACAAATTTTGACTCATCATTAACAAGCATTTTTGTTTGGTAAAGAAACTGATAGATAGTTATAGCTGCTTTTTTTCCATTTTGAAACCAAACGCTAACATTCTCAGCCACCACGTCATAGCGACTTTCATTAAATCATGCTATAGTGCCACAGCCTATATTATGCTCGCGGGTATTTCACATTTATAACGTCTTTTTGGCCTCATATGTGCCGTTGATTTGGCAGTGCATACAGGCGAATTCGCTTTACGCTACCGAGTAGATGCTTGCTGATGCAGTTTGAAAATTGTTGTGTAAAGACATTAGATATAATAGTCAGTAACTAAAAGTATATTTTGGTTCCATCTTACGGTTACCTGATCCAGTAATTATTGCGCTCCTCAGCCGTCTACTCAGACATATTATTATGTTAGCTAGGCATATAATGGTTAGAAAGTCAGTGGCACTGATACATTTGTCGGATTTCAAGCAATTTTCCCTTTTGGCAGCGGGCAACTTATTTACTTCTTACTTGAATCTATTTTGAGTAAGGCACAATCGTAGGCGACTTGCATAGTACTAATATGTTTTCAATGTAATTCTCAATCTAATATGCAATTACTGTCCTGTCTGACGGAGAATTCTGGATTGGGAAGCGTTTACCCACTGTACTAAATCTCACGGAATAAGCAGTTCGAATAGTGGGTGCAGGAAATGGCTAATGAGTTTTTCTGCAAACACTAACCAAAGTGGATTAACTGCAGCCTTTAGACCGTTTTTGGAACCAAACAATAATTACGATAGGGGTTTTGCTATAAAGGGCTGTGTTTGAAAGACAAAGTGCGACTGCTGTTTTGGCGATTTACTGATCCGAACGAAGAAGTACTTTTTCAAACACTACAATTCTTTTTAACACTTTTTTCTCTATCTGTGGACTGCACAAAGTGTGACCCTAACACAGTAGCATCCTAGGGTATCAATATTTTTTATAATAAACATTGCTACCAAAATCATGCTATCCCCACCAGTGCTGGCGCTTTCATGATAAGTATGCATTTGTTTTCATTTTGAGTTCTGTGGAAGAGAGAATACTCAGCGTAACCGCCACAAAATAAAGGAGGGCGGCAGCAACTACAGTAACCTACGCATTCAATAATTACTCCAACCACCGTTCAAAATCGAATTTAGGGCTAATCGGCAGACTGTAGCCGCCGCCCATCTTTGATCTAACCGCCTGTTACGTTGAATAATGTCCCTAAACCCTTGGAATTGAGTCTTGCGTGCCGGCAGTGAAAACTCGCAGATGGCTGCAATCTCCAAAGCAGACAAAAAGACGGTTTATATCGATATTATAGCTAGTGCACGCAAAAGAATACGGTTTAAACGGCGCATTTAGAGTGGTTGGTCTGAATAACGAATTTTTGCAAGTAGGCAGCCGACAAGAAAGGCTGACGTCCACGTTCGTCTGCAAATCGGCTCGCTAGTAACAGCTCACTTATTTGAGCAGATAAAATGCCCGGCATGGAAAGCTGTCTATAAACGCAGCCGCCAGCTTCTGCAAATCGGGAAACTGACGCAGTTTTGATGACTCGGCCGCCCGAGGTTTGATTATCCTCACAAGACTTTTTTAAATTCGAGGACAGGTCTGCACATATATAAAGGTACTGTCTAGACACTACGCTAACCGCTGGTTTTATATCCTCGATAATTTCATTAGTTCGTCTAAATCATGAATGGATTCCATATAGTTTGTAGACGGTCATCCTATTGTAGATCAACAGGATGAACAACAGTGAAGATGAGTAGACATATTAGTAAGAAAAGAATTTGTGCATTATCGCATTTACCTGAATTGACTTGCATCGCAGGAATTCTTTCGTTTCTAAATGCTCACGCTTGTCACCGTTTAGAAGGGATGCTAATAAGTAAGTCAGTTGGTGTTAGTGTATTTATTACACGATCTCCTAGAGAGGAATGGAAGAATCGCAAATTTTATGGGGTTACTGGCAGTACAACTGGGGGCAGTATGTGATAGTTCGAGAGACTGATTTTATTTTAAACTACTGCACAAAAATCCAGAGTTCTAATAATTACAACAGAGTGGTCGCCGGAAAATTCCGAGAATGATCACACTTGGTAAAAATAAAATAGAAAAGGCCCAAGATGTAAAAATGTATCTTGCAGTAAAAGGATAAGAAGTTAGCCAACCAGACGAAATCATTACGAGATGGACGTACGTTTGAGATGAATCTCAGTAAGGACTATCATAAATACGGTTCTTGATTGGCTAAGTAAGTTTGGCAGGTGTGTTTTCTCTGTCCAATGCAGTCGAATATACGACGGAATCTGACATTTGCTGGAAACATTCACATTTTTGGCAATATTTGCGTACTGTTTCCTTACTTCATCTTTCTTTGCAAGATCACGGACAAGGATCCTCAGAAACACGACCATAAGGTGGACTAAAGTCCCATTTCCAAAGCTTTGCAAAACAAAAAAAGAAATTTAAGAAATCAAAGAAGGATGGGAGTTCATGACATTGATGTTAAGACTGCTGGTAGGAACTAAGAGGATGTCAAAGTTGGCGACGAAGGTCGCATGGCGTAACTCGGAGAAGAAAACGGGAAAAAATGGAGATAATGAAAAATGGAAGGTAAGGAAGTGTAAATACTGCAGCCACTATATATCTTGTTGTAAATTGATGTTGAAAACGATATATCCCCGGCCACTATTCGTCACATCTAGGTGAACAGAGTAAGCCTGGCGGAGATTTAATGGAATGATGTGTGAAACGTGCAAATCCGATGGAATATCCAAATTCAGAACATGGTTCAGATGCCCATATTAGGATTGCGGCTTAAGATTTCAACGATAATACGGTTAAACAAACCAAATAAATTGTGAAAATTCCCATAGCAGCATTCAGAAGACCAGTTGATGGGCCTACGTCTCCTTCCAATAAATTCTCAGCAGGCCAATGCATGTACATGGGAACGGCGTAGAAGTATAACATGTCAGTAATTGGAGAAATAAATCGAAGTTCGCGCTTGACCACAGGTAGAGTGTGGGAATAGGGGGGGGGGAGTAACACCTGCGAATTCCTCTTAACTAATCACAAGGAAATAAGAATTCCGATGAACACATTCAGAGAAGCAATATTAAGATGCGCATTAAATGCGCAGTTCCTGTTTAGTAACCAACTCTTTGGACAAATAGATGGCGTTGTTGTGGATTCGTCTTTTGGACCTTTCCTAACCGATGCCATCGTTGACAAGCTGGAAAAATGTCAACTAAGCGATCAGATGAATAAAATTAAACGCTTCGGTCGCCACGTCAATGACGTCTTTGCAATCTCCATCACAGAAACCGACGCAGAAGCTCTCTTAGAAGTGGTAAATCAGGCACATCGACCAACTAAATTCACGCTGGAGATGAGAACGGTTTGTTCGCTTCCATTCCTAGATGTCCCTATAAGCAGGAGACCTGACGGTAGCGTCCGAGGGAACGTCTATCGGAAGAAAACCTGGTCTGAGCAATAAACGAACTTTGGCAGTTTCGCGTCCTCCAGCAAAAACAAAATGTAGTACGGCGTTTGACGTAAAGGGCTAGAAAAATGTGTCCTGCAGATAGCATTGAGTGGGAGTTCAGAAAGATCCGAGGCTTCCTTCGCAAAAACAGGCATTCTGACAGGTTTATTGCAAAGGATATTGCCGAACGGTCGGAAAACCCACAACGCTGTCTGCCGAAAAGAAAACGCTGTTCCTCAAAGTCCCTTTTCAAGGAATGCTGTGAGTGAACTCCTAAGAAGACGCCTGGGAGAAGGTGTCTCACGAACCCTCCCAGCAGCAGGGGTTCAAATGCTACTCTCTACTAACCCCATTTCAAGCGGAAAAGGTAAGGATAAGTTGCAACTCAGACCACATCAATGTACGTCTTCTTTACTTACTCCTGTGGAGCGGGTTATATTGTTCGACCTAGTCGGCGCCTATCCAAGAGAATACGAGAACACCTCCCGGAATGGCAGGGAAAAGGTCAAACTATGAGCACAAACAGCGCCATTCTCGTGCATCTTGTTGATTCAGGACATCGTGTGGACGCCAGCAAAGCTTTCCGTTTGGTTTATAAGGTCTCGTCGAGGTATCCTAAGCTACTGAGCCGGCACCTGTTATCAACAGCAGAAGAGGCTGCCAAGAAGTTCCAAAAGTCGATCTTGCGTGCGCAGAAGAACGTCATCCAGGCTCCACACCTACCGTGGTCAACGGCCGACTAACT